TGGCTTGCTAAAGGTCGGATACATATGAGCATATTCCCTCAGCAACTTAATCGTGTCATTCCACATGAGTGATGAGGTATTTACCGAAATCGAGGTGCCCGGTAGCATTGTTCATGACGACCGGCTGGGAGTTCGTGTTGCTAAGTTTCAAGAATCACTTTCTCTGATCCATCTCCAGCATGATGATTTCAAATTGACTTGTTGCGTATGGGTGATGAAGGAGTATGGCATGTCAGAGTCTTGGACTGCACTATTCAATATTGATTTAAGTGGAGGATTGGGCGATCGTGTAGCTGGCTTTACAAGGAAAGGCGAAGTTCTATTTGCAAATAAATCTGGGTATCTCGTAGCTTATTATTGACTGGGAAAAAGATTTTTCTCTCTCTCAGAGAAATTGTTTTCTTAAACTCGTCCAGTTGGTAGGAGAACAAGATTTTTCACAAAATACTTTTGCAAAAATCAATCGTATCTGTCTTCTTGAAAAATCAAGAGACATTTTTCCTCCAGATCTCTTTCGCATGCTTTATCGAAAGATTGAAGATCATTATGATATCATTCGATTTTATTTTCAAACATTACATGAAGATATCAATACCTTTGATATGCTTTACACTGGTAAAAGAGTCCCTAAATTTGCTTTTTTTATCCTTCCCGGGTTAGGCTGGTCCATGGAACCCGTTGATTGGGGATTTGTGAACAAACTCACCTTTTCCTCTCATGATTCATACCAAAATTTTCCTGCCATGATAAAATCCATGATTTACAAAGTAAGCGGCGCTGGAACTATAGCCGCCACCTTACCTTTTGGATCTCCAGTACTATTGGTAGTCGAGAAAAAACTCGATTTTTTTAACCTTATCAAATATGGTATCTCAAGCTCACCGCACATGATGAGTACGAGCATCAGCGTCTACTAAATTCGGACGAAATTGCCAACAGCATTAGTCCATATTACTTTGAAATTCACAGTTTCTTGCACTTACAAGACACTGTTCGACGCCTTCTTGATGGTTCTTATCACAATCAAGAACCCGTGTTATACTGTTGTGATGGACGCAGACTATTTGTTACTACAGTTAATTGTTATTATGGTGATGACAATGCAGCAGATCGCATTGACACTGCTAAAGCATTTCTACGTGAAATCATTAGCATGACTACATTGGATATCCCCTCTCGTGTCAAAGATGGCGCAGAACGACTCAATCTTGAATGGGATATTGCCGACGTACAGTCTCCTGCTAGCACCCTCCACTTGATGAATATGAACTCCATAATATCATCAACGCAATGGAAGGATAGCCGACACTCTTCTTCGCCCAACTGCAATCTATCCAGCATACAACAAGCAGAGCTGTCATGACAACTTTTCCCAAAAGCTAAAGTAACCATTTGCGGCAGACATACTATTCATCAATAGTGAAAGTTGCCAACAATCACTTTTTCAAACAGTAAAAGAAAAGATTCCTTCTTATCTTCTCCGGAACTGTTTACCTTTTGTAATGTTATTTAAACCGTAACCCCAGAATGGTTTCGGCATCTGTTTTTGTCTACCTGTTTTCTTTCTCTTGTAAACCATCAGTGTCAGTCTGTTTTATTTCCGCATATTGTAATTGGTATCAGAGCCTCTATCGAATCTGGACCACTATGATCCTGAAGCCAAACAAGCAACGCATGTTCATTTTCGTGGATCAACAGATTCATGGAATAGGGACTCATTTTATGCAGATGCTTATACCGAGAGCCTAGTTTTAGTCACTTGTAAGGAGTCACCTGATTTGCTTGAACAAACCAGAGTAAAAAAACGATGCGTGGAGAAGCGAGTAAAAGAAAAGAATGAAAAGAAGAGCAAAACCAAACAAGGAACGGAAAGAACAGGCAAGATGCATTATTTTACTTACTTTTAACTCTTATATTTGCTATTGCTAAGTCCTGTTATTGCTGCATGTCATGTAAAAGCTCAACCTACAATTACTGTTTGATATTCATCTTTGAGGAGTTACATTTATTGTTGATGTTGATATCTTTTTGTGCCTGATGTGCAAGGAATTCTTTCAGGATGATGGTGAGGATGGAAAATCAAAACGAGGACAGACAGGGTGGAGAACTGTTGAAAGACTGGAAGCGGCATAGTGAACTCTTTCCCTGTTTTATTTTTTTTTTATTTTACTTTGCCTGTGGTACATAATGCTGGGTAACTTTTGAAAGAGTGGAAGTGGTATATTGATGTAGTTGGCAGGCAATATTTAACTCAGCCATGATGCTTTTGAACTCTTGGAGCATTTGGGCTTGATATGGATTTAGATGTTCCGCTGAAAGTATTTGTTATCCATTATTGCTTATCTTTTGATGCCATTGTATCTTCTAAATTTTGTTTTGGGGTATGAGCCACATTATAATATATGAATTGAGTTGTCAAAAGCAGCTTCCTTAGTTACTGGATAAGCTGGTGATATTTTGTACGAAATCATAGCAACTTTTCCTTTTGGCTCAGATTATACTAAGGTTGACTTGTTTCACTTGCTAGCCAATCTCGAGTTCAAACTTTAGCTCAATTAATGAGTGATGTTCACTAGTCTTAATGAGTCTGTTCATGATAATCCCTTTATCAACATGTTTCTGAGTTTAATGAGTAAAGCAAGGTTTATTCAAGTTCGTCTCTCTTACTTAATGAGGTTGAAAATGTTGATTAAATTATGCTGGTATACTATGCTAACTAAAACGGATAGAGCTCTTCTGTAGCTGAGCCTAACTTGTAGATGAATTGATCAATAGTTTGACCCGTACTTAATGAACTATTCATGTGCCACTGACATAGTACAATTAACATTTCTAATTGGTGAGAAGACTAACCACTAGATATTTGACATGATAATAAATTAATTAACTTGAATGATATTTATTCCAAGACCAGTGCTGTTCACCCCTCATTGTTCTGCTCACAATGTATGGCCGTCATGCCACTTATTACCATGTTTAAGTTTGAACCGTTTCTTTTTGCCTTATTAATTGTAGCTCTAGTTGTTACTTTACTCTTATACCATATTGTAATGCAAAACTTTAGAGGAGAGTGCAAAACAAATCTTAAAATTCTAGTAAACTAGAAAAGAATATGGGTGTTATAAATAACACATGAATTTGTTCTGTTCCCTTTGGAGTACTAAGTTGGCTCTCTTCTATTTGGAGAGATAGAGTCAGATGGTTATTTTAAATTCATGAATTTTTTAAATTCTTGGGGCATGTAGTCATGCTTGGTTAGTTTTTGCCAACTTATCCAGGAAATAACATTAATGATCTGCCAGGTCAGTTTTGTTATTTTTATTTTTATTTTTTGTGATGATTTGTTTAATATCCTCTATTTGTTTCATAAAAGTTTGTTGATAATATAATTCAACCGTCTCATTTCTCACCAAAAAAAAAAAAACAAAAATCAACTAGTTTTCATGTATGTGTGAAGCCCACTTCTGGAACTGCTCATAACTTTGTGCTCTTAGTATTCTAATTGGAGCTGCACCTTCCAGGTTGCTAACTTGCGTATATTTTCTTTCCCTTCTAATTTTGTTGACATGTGGAGGGCAAAGCTTTTGCATACATCTTCTATTGTGTCATTTACAGTTATTAGCAATTTCTATAGTGGCCTTAAAGTTGATCTTTTTACACTTATAAAGTTGAGTTAGTTCCTGTAATTGGCTGGTTATATATTCTTTAGTTGGATAAATTTGGTTTTTGGTGAGGTTATGATGATGTACTAGGCTCTGGTAACTGTTAGTATTTGGTTTGTAGTGGTGTTATGATGGTGTACTAGGCTCTAATAATGGTTAGTATTTTCAATATATCCATGGATTTTATGTTTGATATAGAGTTTTTGAAAGCCTTTGAGAAAATCCCAAGTCCTATTGTATTTGGGAATTGAGTTACCGTGCATCGGGAACCAACCCCTCGGCCTCGACATTGTAGAAAACAAAATGCATCAATCCTATCTATTGTTGATTCATGAAATCCTATGGTTTGTTCTCTTCTTTCTTGCTGCCTATTCATCTACACAAGGCCATTTCTTTTTATGTTTATGAAGCATAGCTTACAAAGTAAACATTCATGGGAACTATTGAGAATCGTGAATTGTGGTTCCGGTTGGATAACATTGATCGAGATAAGAATTCAGATTTTTATTTTTTATTTTTTTTATTTGGTGTCGTTTTCCTAACCACCTCAACTCTGCCAACATTCCTTGATGATTCTAGCGTGGCTAAGGATCGTAGGCAATTTATGCGAGTGATGGTAGAGTTTGATGTGGTCGAGGATCTACCGAATATTCATGGAGAGGATTGTGAGGTGGGATTGGAGTATGAATGGAGACCTCAGTATTTCTCCTTTTGTAAAGGTTTGGATCATCCCTTGAATTGGTGCCCAAGGAAGGTGATTGCTGATTCTAAGGAGAAAGCGGAACCTGTGGGGAAATGGATGGCGAAGGTCAAAGGGAAGTTTTTGGAGGAGGACATAGTCCCTGTGGTGACTAATAGGACTAAAGAGACTTTGCGAACAGATGATATTCAGATTAAGAATCAATTTGATGTTCTATATGGCAAGCATGCCAATGTATCTACTGATTTGGCCATGGTTGTTTGGAGTGCTCCTAAAGTAGATGTGAAGAATGATTCATGCAGTATGGGGGATGCTTTGAAAGAGGATCTAGTGCCTATGGATTCTGAAACATTTAATGCGAAAGGTGTTCTTCTTGCTTTAGATCAGATAGTGGAGGAAGTCTCAAGTGATCAGGTTGATTTTATTGCTATGCCATCTAATAGTTGTGATGAGGTCTTAGAAGGTCAAGAGCTTGATGTTAGTGTTGGTGGAAGACCTGATCTTAATGTTCCTTTGGGATGTTTTATCAATGATAAGAAGAAGAACAAAGGGAAGAAAAAGGTGATGGTGCCAGCTACTGATAGAGTAATGAGGGGAAAGATTGCAGGTGGAGCTAATCCACAATCTCAAAACAATCAATGATTGGTTTTTGGATTGTAAGAGGTCTTAATAGACCTTCTATGCAGTTTGAGGTTAGTAATTGGGTCCCGATATTATGCACCAGCTTCCTTTCTGATTATTTGTCCTCTTACATGAACAATCTTTACCTGTGGAATCCATCGATTCGGAAGATGATGGCCCTTCTGCCAGTACGTGTCACCTATGAATTACACGGTTGTCATATGCATAGCATGGGATTCGTCTTCAATTCCTGGACTAATGACTTTAAGGTTGTCAGGATTGTGTATCTGGACGACGGAGTCATTGGTTGTCTAACTCCTCTGGAGGTTGACATTTTCAGTCTGAGCACAGGCACATGGCGGGACATCAGCCATTTGGGTCTTAAACATACCATCTGCGAGCGGGCTCCCCAGGCTTTTCTGAATGGGGCTGCACATTGGCTTGCTTACAATCGGAGAAAGAGGGACAATTTCCTCAACTTGATCGTGTCATTCCACATGGGTGACTAGGGATTGAGCCAAATCATGGTGCCCAGTAGCATTGTTCATGACACATCTTGATTATGTTCGTGTTGCCAAGTTTCAAGAATCACTTTCTCTGATTCATATCCAGCGTGCTGATTTCAAATTGACTCGTTGTGTATGGGTGATGGAGGAGTATGGCAATCCAGTCTTGGACTAAACAATTAAATATTGATATGAGTGAAGGATTAGGCAATACTAGCCGCAATAGTGTAGCTGGTTTTACAAGGAAAGGTGAAGTCGTATTTGGGACAAAACATGGATATCTGGTAACTTATGATCCCGAAGCCAAACAAGTAATGCATGTTCATTTTGGTGGATCTACAGATTCGTGGCATAGGGAGTCATTCTATGCAGATGCTTATATTGAGAACCTAGTTTTAGTCACTTGTAAGGAGTCACCTGTTTTGCTTGAACAAACGAGAATGAGAAAAGAATGCATGGAGAAAAGAAAGAATGAAAGAAGAGCAAAACCAGGGAAGAATGGGAAAAAAGAGGCAAGATACATGATTTTACCTACTTTTACATCTTATATTTGCTATTGCTAAGTTTTGTCATTGCTACATGTGAGCGTAAAACCTCAACCTGGCATAAACTTATTTTTTAATTATTTTTTGTCAATTACTGTTTCATATTCACCTTTGACGAGTTAAAATTGTTGTTCATCTTGATATATTTTTGTGCCTGCTGTGCAAGGAAATCTTTCAGGGCTGTGATGAGGGTGGACAATCGAAATGAGGAAGCCAGACAAGGTGGAGAACACTTGAAAGACTGGAAGTGGCATACTCACTCATGATGCTTTTGAACTGTTGGAGCATTTGGGCTTGATATGTCTTTAGATGTTCTTCTGAAAGTATTTGTTATCCATTATTGCTCATCTTTTGAGCCAAATTATATTATTCGAATTAAGTTGTCAAAAGCAGCTTCTTTAGGTTTAGTTGCTGGATGTCGTGCCAAGCATATAGAAGTCACTAGCTGGTGATATTTTGTAGGAAATCATAGTTAGTTTTCCATTTGGCTCAGATTATGCTAGCCAAGGTTAAGCTTGGCTTGTTTTGCTTGGTAGCCAATCTCGAGTTCAAACTGGAGCTCAATAAATGAGCGATGTTCACTAGTCTTAACGAGTCTGCTCATGATTATCCGTTTATGAGCATGTTCGTGAGTTTAATGAATAAAGCAAGGTTTATTCAAGTTTGGCTTGCTTACTTAATGAGGTTGAAAATGTTGATTAAATTATGCCGGTCTACTGTGCTAACTAAAACGGATATAGCTCGTGTAGTTGAGCCTGACCTGTACATGAATTGGTCAATTGCTTGACCCCTACTTATGCGCCATGTGCTACTGACATAGTACGATTAGCACCTCTGATTGGTGAAAAGACTAACCTCTAGATATCTGACATTGTGGTAAATTAATTAACTTGAATGATATTCCAAGAGCAGTGCTGTTCACCCCTCATTGTTCTGCTTTTCCTTTGACTGGATGGGATGGGACTGCAAGACAATGTATGGCCTTCTTGGCTCTTGCCACTTATTACCATGTTCAAGTTTCAACCATTTCTTTTTCCCTAATCTAATTGTCTAGTTTTTACATTACTCTTTCACCCTATCGGAAGGCAAAACTTTAGAGGACATCTAGCTCTTATAAGAAGTGCAAAACAAATCTGGAAATTCTAGTCAACCAGCAATGAATCTGGCTGTTAATAGCCCATGAATGTGTTCTGTTGTCTTTGGAGTACTAAGTTGGTTCTCTTCTATTTGGAGAAATAGAGTCAGATGATTATTTTAAATTCTTGGATTTATTATTATTATTATTTATTTTTTAATTCTTGAGGCATGCAGCCATGCTTGGTTGGTTTTTGCCAACTTATCCAGGAAATAACATTTTATGATCTGCCGGGCAGGTTCTTTTTTATTGTGATGATTTGTTTAATATCCTCTACTGGCTTCTTCGAAGTTTGTTGATGATACAATTCAACCATCTCATTTTCACAAATAAAAATCAATTAGTTTTCATGTCTGTGTGAAGCCCACTTCTAGAACTCATACCTTTGTGCTCTTAGTCTTCTAATTTGAGCTAAAAAAAATGTTTGCATCTGATTAAAGCAGTAATTAATCAGAGCTAAATATCTTCATTGATAGATGCAATATAAGTGTTTTCTTTTTGGCCTTTTCTTTTACTCTTTCAGTATGTCATAGACATGTTTTATGTCCTGTTATTTGATTAATAACATCTTTGATATGATGTGTTTCTTGATGGTACCATCAGGTGCTAGACCTTTTTTGCTTCAGTACACTTTTTTAATTGATAGTGGAACCATTATATGACTTCATGTTTGATAATAGTTAAATATATATATAACCTTTTCTTTTGAGTAATAATTCCAAATTTCAAAGACATGGTTAAACCTCCCGGTTGCTAGCTTGTGTATTTTTTTCTTGCTACTAATTTTGTTAACATGAGGAGGGCAAAGCTTTCTCATACGTCTTCTATTGTGTCATTTTACATTTATTAGCAATTTTCTATAATGATCGTGATATTTGTGTTCTTACCCTTATAAAGTTGAAATTTAGTTCTTGTAATTGGCTGGTTATACCTTCTTTAGTTGGATAAATTTAGTTTCTGGTGATGTTATGATGACGTACTAGGCTCTAGTAACGTTTAGTATTTGGTTTATAGTGGTGGTATGATGGTGTACTAGTTTCTTATAATGGTAAGTATTTTTAACATATTCATGAATTTTATGTTTGAGATGGAAATTTTGAAAACCTTTTGAAAATCCCAAGTCTTATTGTATTTGGGAACAGAGTTTTAGGGCACTGGTAACCAACCCATTGGTTTCGATGGTGTAGAAAACCAGATGCATCAATCTTATCTATTGTTGATTCATGAAATCCGATAGTTTGTTTAATCTTCTTTCTTGCCGTATATTCATCTACATGTGGCAAATTGTTTTACGTTTATGAAGCATGGCTTACAATGTAAAACTTCATGGGAACTATTGAACTCATGAATTGTGGCACAGGTTGCATAACATTGATCGAGAGAAGAATTCAGAGATCTTTGTGTGTGTGTGATTTTACTTACCAGTTACCACCTCAACTCTGCTTAAAACATATTTTTGTGAGCAAATTAGCTCGTTAAGGTTCTATTTGGATGCTATATCTGAGAAATTTGAACTTTTTTCCATAAGTGCTTGTGGGATAGTTTTTGTGATTTAGTACTTGCAATTGTGTGATATTTCTTTTATATGAAAATTTAATTTATACACAGTGGTAGGTATTTTATCTTGCCCAAATTTGGTTTATATTGGGGTAGGTAGTTGTGTTTATTTTTAAAAATTGTTGATCTAATAGAAGTGTTGCAATAATATGCCTGATGCGCTATTTACGTTGCCATTAAAATTCATGGACTCTGTCTTAAACAACAGAGACCAGCGAAACTCTCACTATCACCCTACTGCTTCTCCATCATATCAGTTTGGCGCTAACTCACTTCTCCTCTGATCACTCCCTCACAAACTCTCCACTGCCAACAAGGAAGAATAGCCGTTGTCATTGCTGGAATCGTCCAGGTTACACTCTTTATCTTCTGTTTCTCTCACTCTCTTCTCTATTTCTTCTCGCTTTCTGCCACTCTGAAAAAGATATCTATTGTGTCAATCAAATCTCCATGCTATTTTAACTAAACCCTAACAAATCTTTAATTTTTATGAATGTTTGCTTCAGGGTTTTTGTAAATCTACTACAAATCAAGAAATGTTTGTAGTTTTGTTTGATTTGATGGTGTCTAGAGAGAGAGGGAGCGAGTTTTGTTTCCTTGTTTTCTTTCTTGTGAGCGCTGATCACACTTTAATGGCAGTTGTGGGTTTTAATCTTTTATCATACATTGAACATGAACATCAAATATATATATAGAAGAACTTTCCCTTGGCTCTGTTATGCTGCTGGTATTTTTTTTTTAATTGTTGAATTCTGTAGTTTATTCATTCATTTGTGTCTCTTTTTTTGTTCTATCTTTATATCTGTACAATAGTTATGTAGTCTTTAGTCCAGCTCATGGAGATTGCTTGTTAGTGCATTGCACTGTCCAGTCTAGGTAGTACTGCTACCAGATTTTATTTATTTATTTTTTGGAAACGTGGAACCTTTCCAATCGCTGGTCCTTTGGACTTATGATTGCAACGTGTTTATCTCGGATACGTGGAATCACTTGCAAATTACACATATTATTGAAACTCGGGTGTTTTTGTGCCCAGGTGCTACCGGTTGTTTGTGCATAAAGGAGTAATTTTTTTTTTGCCCTTTTTCTTTTCCTATTATACTTTGAGATGATGGATTGATGCATTTGAAATCCATATATTTATTGGATAATCTCCCAATTTATGATATACAAGTTCAATCATTGTCTCAAATGACCATTAGGATGAATGTGGACAAAAGAAATTATAGTATTCTTATTTGGATATGATAGAGGGGACAAAAGAAGAGATGGATAATAATCAAATTACTACCGTATTCTTTTAAATGGATGTGATATGAATAGAATAATAATTTCCTCCTTTTTATTATTGAAGGCAATTTCAGAATTATGAAAATATTACTTAAACATTATATTTTTTGTCCCTATTTTTTCATTTTTTGAAAAACATGAAACGAGGGACAAGGAGTAATAGTTATTCTCTCTAACTTTTATTTTCTCTCATTTTTAACCAACTAAACACAATCTCACTATTATTTCTTTTCTTTTGTCTCCCTGTTCCTCCAAATTTATCCAATCCAAACGTATCACTAAATTTTACTTAATACTCTACAACTTTTTAATGTGATGGTGCATGTGGCGAGGGCTGTAATATATGACACATCTTTAGTTTAGTGAACATTTAACACGTATTTTATCTATTTATTTATTTTTTGTTACCAAATTATATATATATATATTTTTTCATGTTTTAAAAAATTTAAAAATAAATGGACTTTTTCTACTTTTGACGGAAATAATGACACAACATAAACATTGCATTGATTATAACCAAAGTGAATTAAAAACGAAAATGGTTGTCAAATGAGCCCTAAATTAATTGCGTAAAAAGGGTTTTTTCTTAGTTTTTATAGCAAAGGTTCTTCAATATTGATTAATGAGCAAAAATTAGTAAAATAGAATTTTAAATATATAATATATCTATTCATTGTTGAAATTGTTGAAACCTTCCCAAGAAGTTCGCTCATCTCACTTTCCCATTTCAACTGAATAAGAGCATCTCCAATCCAATGCTATTTGTAAATTATAGCAGATGAGTTTTAAATAGGCTCTGCAAAAGAATGTCATTTGGCCTGCCAAATTTTAACCTCGCCAATTCTAGCACATGAAATGACACTTACTATTTCTGATATTTCGTTCCTATGTAGGGCAAGAGAGACCGAGAGAGAGAGAGAGGAGAACGGCGGCAACAAATTACGGGAGGAAGCACTGAACAAATTACGGGAGAGTTTGAATGCGGATCGTTTTTCAGGTTTCCAATCATTACTATAGAACACATAAATATGCCTCAAGAATTGATTTTGAAATCTGAATTTATGTATATGTGTATATATATTGGAATCAATTAGTATTTGGTGGGTTTTAATTTCAGATGATGAATTGGAAGAGACTAGCTCTTCGTCACCAAGCAATGATGAGGACGAAAGTGATGCTCAGAAGCTCACAAGGGCTCAGAGGAAGCGCGTTCGGAGTAAGAAACTCAAGAGAGCCGCTTCGCGACGCCAAGAAATTATTGGGCCATTGCTACCTACTGCAAGTGATGATATCAATTGTGATGGTGAAAATAATCATGTCAAAAATGAACCACCAGATGTTTGACGAAATGCCGCTTTGGAACCAGAGACTGAGTGACAATGGAGGTAAGGCTTTTGACGATGTCATGCCATTGAACATATGTCTTCTGTTTTTATAAGTTGAAAAACAATCATGAAATGCATTTGAGTGTTTGAAATGCGAAAGAGTGTACATCGGAATTTGCTAGAGCTGTTTGATTAAACTCATTTCTAAATGAGCTGCTCATTGGACAGTTGCAGGGCAACAAAAATGGCAATTACATTACCACCTCCTAAAACGAAGATAGATTTTTTATAGATTTGACATGTTCAAAGAAAACCTTTAAGTGCAACAGTTATGAAGATAGTCCACATTGAGGGTAATATTAAGGGAATAGGAGGGCCAAAGTTAATGTGGGTAGGTTGGTAAGGAAGGGTATGGTAACAGACGGTTTGACTGAGGCCACGGTCGTAGATAGAGCAGAATGAAAACATAAGTAGGAAGGTATGGTAACAGACAGTTTGACTGAGGCCACAGTCGTAGATAGAGCAAAATGATAACATAAGTGAGAATCGGCTTTGGTTGTTGTTGTAATTTATAAGGTTTTAGCACCGAAAAGAATTACAAAAAGCTTTGACTTGAACCTCTGTTAAGACGCATTTAGATTTAAACTTTAAGCTTTTAAATCGTCACATATGTTTTTGGATTGTAATTGTTGCGTGTGTTTTGTGGTAGTTTAGGAAAGCCAATTGCTTTCACCAATCAGAACAAGCTGAAGCAGAGAAGGATGGCAAAAAGGTTGGCCAGAGAAAGGTCGAAGAAGTCCTCTAATATGAAGAATTATCATCAAGATCGTCAACCTTCCAGTGGAAATGAAGACTATTCGAAATTCTGAATGTGTTAAACCAAAGTGATATTGTGTTTGGAAATTTATGTATGGTGACGGTCAAAGCACGTCCAGTCCGGCGTAGCTGCCAAAATGAGCAGAATTTCATTGGATTCGATTCAGATGAGTTGCGTTTGTGCAATGGTTTGTTAATTGGCTTATGGACCTATGGTGAAAATTTCATGGGCACCAATTCAATTCCACACAAATTGGGATGAGCTTACTGCTAATACTCATACTTCTTATTCTTGTAAATTATTTGGTTCCTTTTGTTGGATCATTAGTGATGATGATTCAACCTGAAAAACAGTAATGTTTGTGACAAGAACAGAAATGAGCATTATGCGATCGTGATTGAAAGTTTTGGTTTGAAAGTGTTGGAGAAAGTGATCCCTATGAATCAATTGTTGATGTGAATTAGCTAAACAGCAGTTTGAGCAAATTCGCCAATTTCTTTGTGAAAATGTCTGTAGATGCTACGATTTTGTTGACAAAAATTGGCCTAAATACATACAGCCCACATAGGTAAACTTGTGGAGGTGGAGGATATGGTCAAGTTTATGGTAGTTGAAAAAGAATAGTGGTTGTGTCAAAAAATAACATTTTGCATGAAATGCATCATTGGAGCAGAATTGCTAAAATGTAGCATTTTGACACTGTAACATCTGTCAAAATATAGATTTGGCATACCAAAATGGCTTTTACCATTGGAGATGCTCTAAGAAGAGGGTCAAGATCCTCTATAGTGCAACGGAAGTATTGTATTGCATCTCCTCACTAGGGAGGTCAATTTAACCCAAGGTTTGGGATTATCTCACTTTCCCAATTCAACGTTTATTTTTATTTTATATTTTTATTTTTATTTTTATTTGTTCATTGCCAGTGTCCTCTAATAGTGACATTTTTGGTCATTTTATAAAATTATTTATTTTTATATATTTTATAAAATGGTTCGTAATTTAGTTAACTTAAGATTTAAATTTGTCAAAGAGACCTTTTTGCACTATATTAAAACTTTAAAGGTGTTTTATGCACGATAAAGACATCCTCTAATAATGTCATTTTCGATCATTTTATAAAATTATTTATTTTTATATATTTTATAAAATGATTAGTTAAAAGTAATTTAGTCAATTTAAATTTTAAATTTTAAGAATAATTTTTGTACGTAAACTATGAGGGATGTGATATGCGCATAGGATAAAAATCGTCTCCAGTCGCTTCTCACTGGAGCCGGTCCAGTTGTGGGACCCGTGGCTGAGGTGGCAAGGCAGGTAAAAGGGAGAAGCATTGTAGTTTTTCGGATACCTGCTTATACGTTTTGCTTTGCTTATACTCTGTTGCAGCCATACGTTTTGCTTATAATCTGTATTTCATTTTGAACTCAAAATTCCCCCTAAAACCAAAATTAAGGTTGGAGCCAAAACTGATCTGATATATATATACAGATATATGCCTCTGATATGTGATGTTTCTTTGGCCTGATCTATAAACTGAAAACGAAGACACGAAGCCTCTACTCTGTAAACCAACACATAAAATCGAAGCCTCTGCTCTGTAAACCAACACATAAAGATGAAGATTTATGAAGAGAAGGTCAAGGATTTAGGCACATAAAGATTTTTGAACATAAAAAGGACCCAGTTCAGAACCTCGGTTGGGAAAAATCGCCAAACATTCCGGCGACATGCTGAACTTCTTAATCTACCTTCCGACGAGATGCTGAAGCTACGATCATCCATTCGGCAAGAAGGTGAAGGATTCCAGCGACAAGGTGAATGTCCGATCATCCATTCCGGTGATCAACTAAAGCTTCGATCAACCAGTCCGGCTAGAAGCTCTGATTATTATAAGTATTAGGTTGTTATTTTGAATTTTTTGTAACTTTATTCATAATGATATATGAAATCCGGTAGTGATTATTGGTAATCCAAAAATCTGAAGGCTGGGTTATTTGTCCTGATGAGCATGAATGTTTCTTATTTTCAGGCAACCCGAGAATTGGGAAGCTTGTTGTTGTGCGTATTTGATGTTCCTATTTATCTTTTTTAGCCTTTTTCTGAATGAACCCAATTAGTCATCACTGAACAAAGAAATTTTTATATTGTATATGCATATACCAGATTTTGATGTTTGTTCTTCTGCCTATTATATGTCCATATTTATCTGTTCTAGCCTTTGTGAAATAACTTTATTTGTGAATGAATTATATTAGTGATCAGTTATAATAGAAGTTTACGATTGTATATGCATATATCATTTTGAAGCTTGTTCTTGTACCAATGTTATGTCCATATTCATCTGTTTTAGCCTTGTCTAATCCTAAACTTTATTACTTTTCAGTTTGAATAAAACTGTAGAATAGTATTTGTATATCCCAAATATTGAAATATGTGATGTTGTATTCATGAAAGTGTTGACATATGTTATAAAAAAGTTGTGTTGTGAATGTCAACATATGCCACATGTAATAAAACAGTTGCATTAATGGTAATGCATTATAGTAGTGTAGAAGTCAATTATATGTACATATGTTAGGTTTGACACCAACTGTGTTCATATATAGTGTACAGTTGTCGTATTTGAGATGTATTTGATCTGTTAACATATGGCACATGTTAGAAAATGGTAGCATGAATGGTAAAGTATTGTAGTAGTGTAGAAGTAAATTGTATGTAGATATGTTAGGTGAAAGATGTGATATTGTATTTATAAAACTGTTGACATATGTTATAAAGAAGTTGTGTTGTGAAGGTAAAATTATGTTTGCGAGAAATTGTTTGCATATCTATGTTAGATGTATTTGTTACGGCAACAGACGCCACATGTTATGAAAAAGTTGCATTAATGGTAATTCATTATAGTAGTGTAGAAGTAAATTTTTAATGGATATGTTAGGTCAAATATGTGATGCTGTATTTATGAACTTGTTGACATTTGTTATATAGAAGTTGTGGTGAGAAAGTCAAATTATGTTTAACACCAATTGTTTTGATATCTAATGTACAGTTGAAGAAAGTTATATGAATTTGATCTGTTAACATATATCACTTGTTGGAAAATGGTTGGATGAATGGTAAAACATTATAGTAGTGTAGAAGTAAATTTTATGTGAATGTGTTAGCTGAAAGATGTGATATTTTATTTATGAAACTGTTGGCATATGTTATAAAAAAAGTTGTGATGTAAAGGTTAAATTATGTTTGCCACCAATTGTTTGCATATCTAATTTAAGCTTGAATTATATTAGATGTATTTGTTATGGCAACATACGCCACATGTTAGAAAAAAGTTCCATTAATGGTAATTCATTATAGTAGTGTAGAAGGAAATTTTTAATGCATAGGTTAGGTCAAATATGTGATGTTGTATTTCTGAACCTGTTGACATATATTATATAAAAGTTAGGGTGAGAAAGTGAAATTATGTTTGACATCATTTGTTTTGACATGTAATGTACAGTTGAAGTTTGTTATATGAATTTGATATATTAACATATAGCACATGTTAGAAAATGGTTGCATGAATGGTAAAGCATCATAGTAGTGTGGAAGTAAATTTTATGTGAATGTGTTAGCTGAAAGATGTGATGCTCTATTTATGAAACTGTTGGCATATGTTATAAAAAAGTTGTGCTGTGAAGGTCAAATTATGTTTGCCACCAATTGTTTGCATATCTAACTTAAGTTTGAATTATGATAGATGTATTTGTTATGGTAACATATGCCACATGTTAAAAAAAAGTTCCATTAATGGTAATTCATCATAGTAGTGTAGAAGTAAATTTTTAATGGATAGGTTAGGTCAAATATGTGATGTTGTATTTCTAAACCTGTTGACATATGTTATATAAAAGTTGTGGTGAGAAAGTGATATTATATTTGACACCATTTGTTTTGACATATAATGTACAGTTGAAGTTTGTTATATGAATTTGATCTGTTAACATATAGCACATGTTAGAAAATGGTTGCATGAATGGTAAAACATCATAGTAGTGTAGAAGTAAATTTTATGTGAATGTGTTAGCTGAAAGATGTGATATTCTATTTATGAAACTGGTGACATATGTTATAAAAAAGTTGTGCTGTGATCGTTAAATTATGTTTGCCACCAATTGTTTGCATATCTAATTTAAGCATGAATTATGTTAGATGTATTTGTTATGGCAACATATGCCACATTTTACAAATTTCTTGGCTGGATGTTAATTCATTATAGTAGTGTACAACTAAATTTTATATGGATTTGTTATGTTAAATATGTGATGTTGTGCTTATTAAACTGGTAACATATGCTATAATCAGGTTGTGCTGTAAATGTGAAATTATATTTGCAACCAGTTGTTTGCATAGCTAGTGTACACTTGAATGGTGTTAGATTTATTTGTTATGGCAACATATGGCAGATGTTAGAAAGTTATTGTTTCATGTTAATGCATTATACTAGTGTAGAATTAAATTTTCAATGGATATGTTAGGTGAAAGATGTGATGTTGTATTTATGTATTTCACAGCAGTGTACAATTGTAGTATGTTGCATGTATTTGTTATGGCACATGTTAGAAAATGGATGCATGAATGGTAATGCATGATATTAGTGTAGAAGTAAATTTGATGTGGATATGTTAGGTGAAAGATGTGATGTTGTATTTGTGAAACTGTTAACATATGTCATATAAATGTTGTGCTGTTAAGATATACTTACTTTTTTGTCGTGTTTTTGTAGGTTTGCTATTATAGTTATGGCTATTGGAGAGGCAATTATTAACATTGAAGAGACAGATAGTGATTCAGTTTGCGAAATTCCTGAAGTAGAATGGATACCCCGCGTTGATATGCAGTTTAATTCTGAAGAAGTGGCTTATGATTTTTACAATGAATATGGTGGCAGAGTGGGTTTTAGTATTCGGAGAAAGTACAAAAATAACAGTCGGAAGGATAGAAAACTAACATCTAGAAATTTTGTGTGTTACAAGGAAGGAAAAAGAGGTGAGGACAAGAGGGACAGGAAAATAAAGAATCAAAGGGCTGAAACACGCACCGATTGTCGTGCACGCATGCTTATTGCCTTTAATGTGGAATTTGGTAAGTACATTGTCAAAGATTTTAAAGATACTCACAACCATCCCCTCATCAGTGAGGATTGTGTCCACATGATGCCATCGCAGCGAAAAATAAAGTCAGTGCAAGCTATTGATGTGGAGTTGGCTACCGATTGTGGAATACCATTTCGTAAAGCATTTGAGTTAAGTT